TAGAGCTCTAGAGGTGAGAGTCATCACCACCACCTGTAGAGCTATAGAGGTGAAGGTCCTCACCATCACCTGTAGAGCTCTAGAGGTGAAGATCATCACCACCACCTGTAGAGCTCTAGAGGTGAAGATCATCACCATCACCTGTAGAGCTCTAGAGGTGAAGGTCCTCACCACCACCTGTAGAGCTCTAGAGGTGAGAGTCATCACCACCACCTGTAGAGCTCTAGAGGTGAGAGTCATCACCACCACCTGTAGAGCTATAGAGGTGAAGGTCCTCACCACCACCTGCAGAGCTCTAGAGGTGAAGGTCCTCACCACCACCTGTAGAGCTCTAGAGGTGAAGGTCCTCACCACCACCTGTAGAGCTCTAGAGGTGAGATTCATCACCACCACCTGTAGAGCTCTAGAGGTGAGAGTCATCACCACCACCTGTAGAGCTATAGAGGTGAAGGTCCTCACCACCACCTGCAGAGCTCTAGAGGTGAAGATCATCACCACCACCTGTAGAGCTATAGAGGTGAAGGTCCTCACCACCACCTGTAGAGCTCTAGAGGTGAGAGTCATCACCACCACCTGTAGAGCTCTAGAGGTGAAGGTCCTCTACCACCTGCAGAGCTCTGGGGTGAAAGATCATCCACCACCTGTAGAGCTCTAGAGGTGAAGATCATCACCACCACCTGTAGAGCTATAGAGGTGAAGGTCCTCACCACCACCTGTAGAGCTCTAGAGGTGAGAGTCATCACCACCACCTGTAGAGCTCTAGAGGTGAAGGTCCTCACCACCACCTGTAGAGCTCTAGAGGTGAAGGTCCTCACCACCACCTGCAGAGCTCTAGAGGTGAAGATCATCACCACCACCTGTAGAGCTCTAGAGGTGAAGATCATCACCATCACCTGTAGAGCTCTAGAGGTGAAGATCATTACCACCACCTGTAGAGCTCTAGAGGTGAAGATCATCACCACCACCTGTAGAGCTCTAGAGGTGAAGATCATCACCACCACCTGTAGAGCTCTAGAGGTGAAGATCATCACCACCACCTGCAGAGCTCTAGAGGTGAAGATCATCACCACCACCTGTAGAGCTCTAGAGGTGAAGATCATCACCATCACCTGTAGAGCTCTAGAGGTGAAGATCATTACCACCACCTGTAGAGCTCTAGAGGTAAAGATTATCACCACCACCTGTAGAGCTCTAGAGGTGAAGATCATCACCATCACCTGTAGAGCTCTAGAGGTGAAGGTCCTCACCACCACCTGTAGCCAGAGGCTCTGGTGAGATCAGGTCACCACCACCTGTAGAGCTCTAGAGGTGAAGATCATCACCACCACCTGTAGAGCTATAGAGGTGAAGGTCCTCACCACCACCTGCTCTAGAGGTGAGCTCACCACCACCTGTAGAGGTGAAGATCCTCACCACCACCTGTAGAGCTCTAGAGGTGAGAGTCATCACCACCACCTGTAGAGCTCTAGAGGTGAGTCATCACCACCACCTGTAGAGCTATAGAGGTGAAGGTCCTCACCACCACCTGCAGAGCTCTAGAGGTGAAGATCATCACCACCACCTGTAGAGCTCTAGAGGTGAAGATCATCACCACCACCTGTAGAGCTATAGAGGTGAAGGTCCTCACCACCACCTGTAGAGCTCTAGAGGTGAGAGTCATCACCACCACCTGTAGAGCTCTAGAGGTGAGAGTCATCACCACCACCTGTAGAGCTCTAGAGGTGAGAGTCATCACCACCACCTGTAGAGCTATAGAGGTGAAGGTCCTCACCATCACCTGTAGAGCTCTAGAGGTGAAGGTCCTCACCACCACCTGTAGAGCTCTACAGGTGAAGGTCGTCACCACCACCTGTAGAGCTCTAGAGGTGAGTGTCATCACCACCACCTGTCTCTTGAACGTGACAGGACCTTGACTTGAATGTGTTCACTAGTATGTAGACACAGTAAAAAAAAAAGTATCCGTAATGAACCATAAATCACCTGATGTGTTCATATTCAGTTATGCCATCAACTATATACACGGCAGGATATGTCGTTAACAACATATATGTGAGGACACCCTGAGGCAAGGACCAGAGCTGCCACCATAATACAGGAGCAACACACGTATTCCACTATCCTTCGTCCGTGGTGTCATATTGTTTCGTACATAACGTACTGTACTTTTTTTTACTGTGTGTACTCCCATTAACATACAGTACATTAAATAATATTTGACTGGGCCGTGAATGCAGCGTGCCTGGACTGTGACCGTCACTATAGTGTGAAGAGTCCCATAACATGCAAGACTTAATACCCCAGTAAAAGGTTCGGTAAAGGTCATCCACGTTCACACCAGACTCAGTTGACATGAGTTTATTTCCTTAGTTACTTAAAGGTGATAAAGGTAAGTAAAAGTTGAGTCAATATACGTTTTCTCCCCTCTTATTTAATAACCTCATAGAAGAAGGAAATAAAGAGGAAGAATGGCGTAAAACAAGTGAGGAAGGTGACAGGACAAGAAGGAGAGATAGACCCACACTCTCAGCAGTACTTACCATTCTCAATGCTCCACAGACCTTCGAGTCGATTCACTGTCCATACTTATGTTGGAAAAAATACTCTAGGTGTCCAAAAAATTGCAAAGTACACTGAACTCTTAGCAATCTTTATTCTTTTAAATAAAACATTAGTACACAAATACAGTTCTTTAAAATACATGTTTATAGTTTGTATGCAAACACTATTCTGCTACATAAATATCCGAGTTAATCACCAATTTAGTTTCCACTTAAAAATATCTATGTTCACATTAGTTAAAGTGGTTAAAATGGTAATACACTTATTATAATCTCCAATAACTTGGAGTACCACATTATTGAGGTATAATCCAGGCATTCTGTTTAAGGCCTACTTAATTCATATGGAAGTTTCAGGCTTCAGCTGCTATTGTCTTCTTCCTGGATATACTCACTCAGTATTCCTAAACTTACGAAACATAAATGACATGTTTATATATATATATATATATATATATATATATATATATATATATATATATATATATATATATATATATATATATATATATATATATACTGGTAAAATCACCCGGCTTCGCACGGGTTGGGAACATTAGGTATATACTGTATAACCTATACTGTCACAGTTTGTCCTCTAGACACGGGTAACCACCTCCTACCATCGCCGTGGTGATATCTCAGTCGGGGAAGATTTTTGGTTCTTGCCGGGACCACCCGGGAGTCCATAGTCAATAGTAATGCCAAGCTGCACAACCTTGGGACCCACGTGATATGTGTATACAGTTGAAGTCTCTAACTGCTTCTGTTTTGGAGTTACAGCTGGAACAGACAGACAGACAGACAGACACACTCACAGACAGGAATGTCCTTTAATTATTATAGATATATTAAACGTTAATACCAAC